CTTGGTTGTTGCTGAGGCAAAAATTTGGATGCGCAAGGAGTTTGTTGAGGAATTGGATAGAGACTCTCAATTGGCTCCGAGGAGATTCTGGCAAACCATCAGGCAGCTGAGGAGGGGAATGCAGCTCTTTACTAACACTGTTCAGTGAAGGTGGGATGCTGTTGACCTCAACCAGTGATGTCATCAGGACCTGGAAGAAATGCTTCTCTGATCTTCTCAATCTCACTGATGTGTTCCATGGAGGAAGCTGAACTGGTGAACTTTGGGGGTGGTCTGTCCATAACTTTGGCTGAGGTTGCCAAGGTAGTAAAAAGATTTGCAGCAGAATGGCTCTGGGGATGGACAAGATCTGCCTTGAGTTCCTTAAGACACTGTGTGTTGTGGGGCTGTCTTGGTTGACATGTCATTGCAACATTACATGGATATTGGGGACACACCACTGGATTGGCAGACTGGGGTGGTGGTTCATCACTTCATTTTTTATTCATTCAACCTTTATTTATATGACTCATTTACAAGTGAGACCTGTTTAAGGCAAGTGGGGACCAGAGGGTGTGCTCCAATTACAGGGGCATCACTCACCTTAGCTTCCCTGGTAAGGCCTATTCAGGGGTACTGGAGAAGCGAGTCTGATCATTGGTGGAACCTCAGATCCAGGAGGAACAATGAGGGTTCTGTCCTGGCCGTGGAACACTGACCAGCTCTTTAACCTCACTTGGGTCCTCGAAGGGTCATGGGAGTTTGCCCATCCAGTCTACACGTGGACTTTAAGAAAGATTTTGACCGTGTTCCTTGGGGTACACTGTGGGGGATGCGCCGTGAGTATAGGATTGGGGGTCCATTGCTATGGGGTGTTTGGTCCCTGTAACAAGTGGTGCAAGAGTCTGGTTCACATTGCTGGTAGTAGGTCAGACCCCTCCAGGGTGGGAGCTTGACTCTGCCAGGGCTGCCTGTTGTCACAGATTCTGTTCATAACTTTTCTGGACAGAATTTTTTTGTGCAGCCATGGGGTGAAGGGTGTCTGGTTCCATGACCTTAGGATTCCATCTCTGCTCTTTGCAGCTGATGTGGTCCTGTTGGTGTCATTGTGCTGTGACCTTCAGCTCTCACTGGAGCGTTTGGCAGCTGAATGTGAAGTGGCTGGGATGAGATTCAGCACCTCCAAATCTGAGGCCATGGTCCTCAGTCTGAAAAGGGTGGATTTCTCTCTTCGGATCGAGGGTGAGGTTTTGCCTCAAGTGGAGGAGTTCAAGTATCTTGGAGTTTTGCTCACGAGTGAGGGAAGAATGGAATGTGAGATTGACAGACAGACTGGTTTGGTGTCTGCAATATTGCAGACTCTGTACTGGTCTGTTGTGGTGAAAAGAGAGCTGAGCAGTAAGGCAGAGCTTTTTGTTTAGTGGTCGGTCTACATTCCTACCCTCACTTATGGTCACGAACTCTGAGTAGTGACAGAAAGACTGAGATTGCAGATAAAGGGGGTTGAAATGAATTTCCTCTGTAGGGTAGCTGGACTCTCCCTTAGAGATAGAATGATAAGTTCAGTTATCTGGGAGAGACTCAGAGTAGAACCGCTGTTCCATCCATCCTGTTTCCTGGAATATCTTACAAAAAGACCTGAAGCTCTTGACCTTGACCTCTCTAAGTGGCTTTAAAAATATGTTAAGTTCCTGGCAAGGACCAGTGCAGACATGTTCCTGTTTTTAGTTTTCTGCATTCACCTTATAATCTAGCTGTTTTTGCCATCTTATTTAAAAAAATAAAAATAAAAAATCTGTATGCCTTGTTATAACTGCCTATTGTTGACACTGTTGTCCATTGTTGTCCTCATTCTTTGTTGAAATCAGGTCTCTCTTGTAAATGAGTCCTCGAGGCTCAATAGGATTTACCTGTCTAAATAAAGGTTGAATGAATGAAAAAATATCTCTCGGTTGGCCTGGGAACGTCTTTGGTGTACTCCCAGAAGAGCTAGAAGAGGTGGATGTGGAAAGAGATGTCTGGGCCTCCCTGCTCAAGATGCTGCCCTCATGACACAACTTCGAAACAAGCGGAAGATAATGGATGGATGAAGAAAGACCATGTAAAGCATTACAGTGGAAGCACATAAAAGACTGCTTTTAGACACATGCAATTTTTGAAATACAGAGTCCCTCACTTCATCGCAACTTGATTATCCCGGACTCGCTCTATCACAGTTTTTCAAAATAACATTGGACATGACATATAATTGGCTGATTGTTGGATGAGCGGCACAATCAGCATGGAATTTTTATTTAAAATAAATTATTTTAAATTATTTAGCACCTGCTGCACATTTGTGCAGTCCAGAGCAGCAGAAAAAGCTTCCTCCTGCATCATTGTGCAGCCCATACTACTGCAGGATAAACTTCCTGCTGCAGTTGAACAGCTGATTAGCTGTTCACGGGGTAGATAATGTGGTTGACATTTCACTTTAAGCTGCTCAAAAGCCTTGGCGCAATGATGGCTAACCAGCGTACCGTTTGTGCACCAACTTTTACTCACGTAAATGCACATTCCGCCTCCCCTTGATTTTCCCATTAGCTCGCTGCATCGATCCACTCAAAAAGAGTCTGTCATCCAGCTGGAAGGCTGAATCCAGCATTTTGCTTGTAATCTATATGTCTGTGAGGCAAATCACTGCACACTTCATCATCTTAACGTTATTATTATAATTATAATTATATTATATTATTATAATATATTATATATATATATATATATAATATTATATATATATATACTATTATATATAGTATATATTATATTATATTATTATATTAATATTTGTATATATTCATCAAAGTTATTATTGATATTGTTTATCTTATTTCTTTATATATTGTTTTTAACATTTAGGAACTTTTGTGTGAAATCTTTTTATCTTTTTATCTGTTGCTGCTGTTACACTTGAATTTCCCATCCGTGGGACAATAAAGGCTGTTTCTATTCTATTCTATTCTATTCTATTCTATTCTATTCTATTCTATTCTATTCTATTCTATTCTATTCTATTCTGAGGCGCTCGCTCTCAGACAAAGCAAATCCATCTTGTTGTCCAACGAGCAGACATTCAACAGAAAGAGAGATGGTATCAGGAGCATTCCAGCTTTAGCGTTAGCATTTAGCCTCACTAGAACCCCTGCCCGGCATCCATCCTCTCTTCTTAAGCTAGGAGCAGCGCTTCCTCTTTTGCCCATTGGAGCGCCTCTGCTGCAGCCTCCAGGAAGATGACTTTAAGATCTGCATTCTGTCAAGCTTAATTTTGAGTTTGTTGCTGATCGCTTCTATATTTTGTAAAAAATCTGCTCTTATACTCATCACTTCGGTTCAGCTATAATTCACACGCATAAATCATGCGGAGTCAGGTACGGAGTCAATTTCAAAAGTCCTAAAAACTGGGATCGCACCAAAAGCTTGTGAAGCTGCAACTGCTCTGAGCACAGCCATCTTGGCTTTACTACTTGTACTACTATTCTTTCTTCATGATTTTTCACTTATCGTGGGTCTTCAGGCTATGGATCCCCCGCGATAAACGAGGGACTACTGTGCTACAATTAAACTGTACAAGTGTAAGATGGAGCAAGACTGATCTAAATTTTACATTATGTTCTCATCCAGCAAAAGTTGTTTGACACCAGTTTTATTTATCCAGGTTAGTCTCATTGAGCCACGAGAACTCATTTTCAAGAGAGACCTGTTTAGGAAGCACATGGTGGGGGTTAAGGGCCTTGCTCATGGGCCCAGGGTGGGGCGAATGAGGGTGGGGGCAAGTGTGGGTGTTTCACCCACCCCACCCACAGTTTTGATGTTGTCGGGGCCGGGGCGTGAACCGGCGATCTTTGGATCACAGGCCCACCTCTCTAACCTCTGCGCCACAAAACTCCCAGTTTTGTATATATTTAGTGAAGAACATTGATTATGAAGATAATGTTTCATTTTACTTAAACAATAAAGTGTTTTTCAGAATCTCTGCAGTTAAACTAGTTAAATACATAAATAAAAAAGCACAAAATAAAAATTTACAACAATCTTAAAAGTGAAATTTAACATTTTTGCTAATTAGAAAGAAAAATAAAACACCCTGAAAGGGAACAAATACCTTAAACATTTTTATATTTATATCCTTAAAGTATTGTTTTCTCTAAATGACTAAACTAGCACTTATAAAATAATTTCTCCCCCTCTTTTTAAGTAAGAAATAATCTGACTAAAAAGCCCAAGCCCACATTCAATAATAATCTAAAGAAAAATAATTAAAAGTCTTCTAAATTTGTTTCAAAAACATTGTGGAAGGAAACACTCAGTATGTGTTCATGAATAAATGAACTTGTTAAAGAGAGATGAAGGGGGAGAAGTGGACAAGTCTTTAAATGGAATCATGACATGCAATGGTAGAAACTTTTGTTTCAAATTTACTGCAACATAAACTCTATGTTTCAGGGTATAGAATAATTTGTTTGTCTAACTGTACATTATCCATCCATCCATCCATCCATCCATCCATCCATCCATCCATCCATCCATCCATCCATCCATCCATCCATCCATCCATCCATCTATCTATCTATCTATCTATCTATCTATCTATCTATCTATCTATC